TTTAGTTCAAGAGAAAATGATTTTTCCCTCCCTTTTGTCATTCAAAAGTAGGTTAGTTTCAGCCATTATTGTCACCAAGAGATTTAAGAGAATGCCCGTGAATTAACCTTCTCTAAAAGAACTTTTGTGCAAGTCTATCATTTGGGCACACTGAAATCTCTGCTTTAGTTAGCCCCCTCCACATCTTAATGTGACTTTCAGCGTATAGTGATGAATTCTAGCAGGATTTGCAGTAATTTAAATTACTTTGTACCTGACACCATAGACATCCCTTGTGTTCCTCCAGCCAATCCTGGATTCTGATTTTTTTTGTTTGTTTTTGTCTATAATGACTGGACTAGTGTCATTCCCCTCATTCAAAAATCAATTACAGTAAATCTGTCCTTCTTCTGAGGAGTTTTCTATCCCATTGTTGTGGCTTGTACCCTCTGCTATGGCATATGGGAACCATGCTAATGTGCTGTGGAGCCCCCAGCACAGATTCACACAATTGGAGGGAGCTGCTCGTGCTTTTCAGCTGACAGCACTGCAGAAATCACCATGGAAATGCAACAGAAAGTACATTGCTACATTACCCTTTACTATTTGAATAAAATAAATCACAGTTATGAGTTGGTCTTGGTTTGCTGTGTTATCCCCCTTAGTCTTACTCCCATTTCTGCTACCTTCTTACAGCAAGACACGTGTTAGTCATTAGTAGCACGGATGATACAGAAACGAGAATGTTGAAGTTGTATTGAATATGTTCCAGATGGACACAGCTACACAGTATCAAACAAGGTTGGCTCTGCGCTGGTTTCCTTTAAAATATTACTTGGAAGTGAAAAAGAATTCAATACTTAACAATTATCTAGAATTCTGAATTCACTAAACATTTGCAATAAACGTTATATTGTAAAATATATGCCCAATAATTGGTTCTTATAAAACTGCCTAACCTGCTCTCTGTCCTAAAGGCATTAATCAACTAAAATTTGATTGGAGTAGGAGCCAGGATTTGCTAACAAGATTAAGTGGTTACATGCAGCAAAGTTAAACAAAAGCCCAAGGATGGCTGTGTGTGTGCACTTCAATTCTCAGCAGAGAAGGCACTAAAGGCTTGTGGCCACACTAGGATGGATAAACTGCAAGATATCTTTCACCCTTTAAGTGTTTTGCTGGGAATGGAGACACAGGCGAATATCTGTACTTATTCAGAGCTGATAGGGTAATCTTGATGTGTTAATTGGATGTTGACAATGAATTTTGGCACGTGTTGCTGATGTGGATGAGGTTGGCAGGAACAGGGTGTGAGACTGGAGTGGGAAACTGGCAAAACCTCATCCTGGGGTTTGTGGAGGGCAGAGCAACAGTAAAGCCCAGGTAGAATGAGGCTGTGGTTTCATATTGGCTTTCAAATGTAAGTAGGTAGTGTGGAGGTGATCAACAATCAGATTAGTAGTGTCCTAGGGAAGAGTTTTTAGGGTTTTTTTCAGAGTAGTCAATACACATTTTGTAGGATTTAAACTACATAGAGGAAGTAGCTGGCTTTCTAGTCAGAGAAAAAATGGCAGTTAGGAAGGAAGATGAAGGGTCTGTGAGGGAGCCAAAAGTTGAGAGTTTGGATAGAGGAGAGCTCTTGAAGCTCCCACTGGAGTGACAGTGCCTTGTAGCAGCATCCACTTTTGAGTGGGGCAGATCTGCAGGTCCAGTAGGAAGGGCTGGAAAGAAATGCATTTAATTCATGTTGAGCAGATAGATAGCTCCAGCATTGCTGGGGTGCACATAGTGTAAGAATAGACTAAAGTACAGCAGATATGCAGAGGAGGTAGCAGAAGGAGCTGCCTTGTGCCATGTCCAGGCTGAGCATTCAGTGGACTTTGTGATCTAGAAATAAGTTTTCATTTCGCTTGGTGCTACCTCCAGGCATGCCAGTGTATGTGGGCATGGCACTGCACCCAGGTTAGTGGTTGAGCAGAAGTGCCAATATCAGTGCACGAGGATTGCAGTTTGATATTGCCAGTGTAAGAGAAGCTGTGATTGTGAGAGTCTCCAGTTGCTGGGAAGGGTAGTATGGGCCCAGGGCTACTCAGGCACCTGGGTGAAAGTTGGCAAAAATGTGACAGCTGGAGTAACCTCTCAGTTATTTACCACCACAACATGCCTTGTACGTGGCCAGTCTCATAGCACGTGTCTGATTGCAGTGGAGAATCCTTCAGATACTCGAGTCATTGCAGTATCCCTTGCTCTTACGAAGCTGGTCTGAAAGCAGTACTATCAAATGCAGTAATTCCCCCAAAACATTGGTTTCTTGGACTGAGCAGCTTAGAGCAGCTCTGTGCACTCCTTCCCTCCAAACAGAGCTGGCAGAGGGGACGTGGCCCAGGCTGCCAGGGGGTGCAGGCAGATGCTGTGTAGCTGCACTGCTGGAAGAGTGGACCTACACCAGTAAGCCCTGCTCGGGACTGGCACAGCAGTGGGCTCGCTGCCAGCTGGGGACAGAATTTCTACCGGAGATCTGGCCCCTGTCCAGGCAGGGTGGAGTGCAGGCAGAGCAGGCATGCCTCGTTCTGCCTGTCCCTGTGCAGATAAGCCCAGCTGCACGCAGCGATCCAGGATGTGAACTTCTGCTCCCTCCGGGACTGTTTCCATCTTGCACGTTGAGCAGAACAGAGGGATTTCTTCATGTGCGTTTGAGGTGCCAGCAAAGGAGGCAGTTACAGCCTGAACGAAACAGTCACAATCATCTTCCCCTTGTAGGATGTCAGGGGAAAATCCAGATGTCTTCTACTCCAACGTGTTAAATTTGTTCAGAGTAAATACCAGAAGAAGGCTGAAGGGAAGGATTGGTAGATGTCCTGCATGGGAATAGGTGTTCACAGGGAAATCACAGGGGAGGTATTTGCTCCTGAACTTTTGCTAAGTAAAGTGTGCATTTTTGTCAGCAACTCAATTTCTGCTTTTGTTCAGTCTTGCACTTTGTTCTTTGTGTGTGAGTGTGTGTTATGATTGAAACATCTCCACCATCAACTCCATTCCGGCTGACAAGAAACAATTCAATGAACAAGTGCTCCTTTCCTTCCTAGCCCAAGAAGTGCTTGTGAAGTTTAGAGAAGTGTTTTGTGCAGATTGTATAACATGGTGTGCTGTAGGACTTACACATCAGTGGCTGGGCTAATTGATCAGTAGGTTCTCTGATCTGCTATTGTACACCAGGAAAATGCGGCCTCTCTGTTTTTTTTTATTGTTACAAATTCTAAATATTTCTTCAAGCATTACAAAGGGCAACTTTAAAATTATTTTTTTTATTAAACTGAGTATCGTTACTTCAATCAGTCGCATTTTGTATATTTGTTCTTTAAAAGAAGTTAAACAAAATCCAGAAAACTTCAAGTCTTCCAAGCTGGTGGTCAAGCTCCAAGCTGCCGAGCTCTTCATTTAGGGAGAAGAAAGTTTGTTTATCCTCTGTACCCCAAGCACATGCTTGTGTAATTTGTGCCTTGAGCATTGCCTTTACAAATATTCCTGCTCTGTGGGAGCTCATAGGATGTGCACTGTGCACTGGTGGGTTTCAGGAACGGCCCCTTTGTGGTCCAAGGGACTGCAGAAATCTCCCTGTGCTCAAGGGCTTTGCTTTTTCCAGATAGTCTGGTTTAAGACAGACTCTGACTTGTAAGTAAATGGCCAATTGCAAACTGTATTCTGAAAGAACTGTGGTTTTAACCAGTGAAGTGTAGGTCAGTGCTAATATAATTAAACATAAGGTGCACCAGTGTCAGATGATCTCCAGTGCTTTAGACTTGACAAAACCAGCTAGATCTCTTCTATTTAATCAGTTGAGGGAAAATCCTCAAATAAAAGTTCTTTATTTTGAACTTCTTTCAAAGGAAGCATTTTACTTCAATTGCAGATGTGCAGAATCCGGAAAAAAACTATGCTTCTACCTTGTATTTCTCTTTCATGCCTGGCAGGCTCTGAACTGACTGGTTCATGTGAGTCTAATTCTTATCTGAGTGCCTTTGGTGCAAATTAGGGGTTAAATCAATTACGCTCCCTTGTGACCTTCTGAATCAAAAACATACGTGTGTCTGTTACTGACAGGGGTGGGCTTGAGCCGTTTTGGAAAAGCAGAGCTGCTTTTCATAAATATTTGTCTTGATTTAGTTTCCTGGGATATAGTTCAAATGTATGCTGCTCTGTATGCTTCATTTTGTGCTGCCTTGCTCTATCCCATCACACGGTCTCACGTACCATATAAGAGTATGGCACTACATCATGCTGTGGTGATTATTTGAGAGGGCGTACACTCTGTTTTGGATGAGATAACTGTTATCAGTGCGGATAATTGCTGTCAGACACAAAATAGACTCAGTAAACAAACATTTCATTTTATCATGTGACAGATGTCTGCTGTTTTGTACAATGCATTTGAATGATGTTCACTATAAATCAGCACTGCTTCTGAAGCAACAAATTCAACTCGCCCAAATCCTTCCTGACATAATTACCTTTCTGGTAGATATTAACTTTTCATTGTTATATACACGATTGCATTTACAGTGTTTGCAGATAACAGTATTTGACATCAACATCTAAGACAAACCAGTTCCTCTGACCACTGTCACTGATGGTGGGGGGGTGGGTTTTGTTTGTTTTTTGGGATGGTTGGTTGGTTTTGGTTGAGGTTTTTTTAGTTGTTTTGTTAGATTTTTGTTTTTTTTTTTTTTTTACTTATTTTTTCTCTTTGTTTTCCTCCCTGGTAAAGAAAAAAATACCTTCAGTTTTGGAATTTATACTTGAAAATTTAGACTTTCATAGAGAAACGAACTAATGAGTTAGCATATTCAGGACAACTTAGAAGGGCAATGGGAATACAAGTCTTAATTTTGTAGAGAATGAAGCTTCTATTTGTGTTCCTGTGGATTTTCTGAACAAAGGGATGATCATTGTTTGACAAATATAAACGATGTATTGTTTGTTTTTTTTTTCTCCCAATGATGTGTCTGTGTCTTTCTCTGCAGGTCCTGTGCCTCAGAGGGAATGTGTCTTATCGCCTGTGAACAATTCGCACCCGGTCCATGCCTTATTGGAAAGCTTTACAGTCTTATCGGGCTGTGCAAGCCGGGGCACGACGAGCCTGCCCCAAGAGGTGCACGTCCTCAATCTCAGAAACCCCAAGGAGGGTCTTGGCCATCATGAAAGAGAGGTAAAGGGGAAATTACATTTTCTCCAGATCCCTGGTGATAAGTATGTCTTCAAGTGGGATTATTGTACGTTAATTTGCTGCATACAGTTATTACTGAATTGTCACCGAAGTACCACAAAGAACCACGTACAATTTGCATGGAGGCTGTCCACCTATGCTCTGCATGTCATATGAATAAACTGCTTCCATACCTAGCCACCCTTTTCATTATCTTCCACAACCACAAAGTGTACTTTAAAAAGGTAGGGGGTGGGCAAAGGAAATAAGAAACAGATCTCCAACAGGCCTTTGCAGAATTGGCTGTCTTCAAAAGCAGATCGTTTACCTAAATGTGTTGTAAATTAACATGAATACCTTTGGATCCCTGCCATGACCACTATAAACAAATACTGAAGTTCAGATTCTTTTGCCAGTGTAATGCAGCCTTAATGCTTCACTGAGAGGGGACTGCTGTACAGCAAGCAAGTGTTGCTGTGATAGTCCAATTACTTGTGTGCTGCACTTGGGGGGACTGGCAAAAACTTTAGCTGTTCTGAAAGCAACAGTAGAATAAAATTTTTGATGTGCCATTGTGCCATATTGTTGTTTACTCTCAAAACATCAAATCAGAATTGCAAAATGCAAAGAAAACACTGCATGCCGTGACAGCTGAGCCTTTTAGTACATGTTCTTACAGTATTACACACAGAAATCCTTAGTGTGTTCTGTGAGAGAAATATGACTGCACACAAATAGAGAATTTTTAATGAGAGAACAAAGATCATGATCTAACAGGGAGAAGCTTAGGAAAAGAGGGTCTAAATCTGTGCTGAAAGAACTTTCAAGTGGAGTCATTTATAGCAATTAAAATAAAGGCAGATTCTCTTGGCCAGAATCATTCTTCTGCTGACTTCAGTATCAGCCTTGTTGGGTTTGTAGTGCCTTCAGCTCAATGTGCATTGTATGCATCCTTGACACTTCAGCTGTTGTGTTCATTTTCAGCATATATACAGTCTTAAATGTCTAGTTTATGATGAGAAAAATTATTTACATTTTTTTCAGTAGATTTGTCATTGGCTTCCGTTAATCAAAATCGTCAGATCTTCTACTATCATGAGATGAATAGAAAAGTTACACTTTTTTGATGGGACTGTGAATGAGGAACAGGTCTTTTTTATATTTGGAGGTGGTGGTGGTGGTGTGGGAGTTTGTTCGGTGATTTTGTTTTGTTTTGGAGTTTTTTAAACCTTTCTTAGTATACCAGGCAGTGTATCAGCCTGATAAGTGCACTGTGAATGACTGAAAATGTGTAGGTATGATCAGTTCTCTGGACATGAAGATGAGATTGTAGGGCTTTTTGTTTTTCTCTGGGTTTTGTAGATTGTTGGCTTGGGAGGGGGTGCAGTTGGTTAGGGTTAGTTGGTTGGTTTGGGTTTTTTAAACATAGTTTCTAATGAGAACTAAATAGCTGCATGTGATTCTGCTATAGATTTTTCAGTGCTTCTCTCATCTCTCAGTAAACTTTAAATCCATTGCTAAGTCATAGGCGACTTTGCTATGAGTTTGCAAGGTAATCACAATTTTTATTGAAAGAAGGAAGAGTACGTGGTGTGGGGACGTGGTGCTGGGGGATCTTGTAACTTCTTGGTTACTGAAGGTGCCCAGGGCTGGGATGAACCGGGCTGCAGCTGGAGCTGGCACCTCCCGAGGGAGCAGCACTGCTCAGGTGCCAAGTGCCCGTTTGCACGAGCCCAAATTTCCTTCTGGGCCGGTGCCGCTGGCGCTGCTTGTGTCACTTTTGTGGTGCTCTGTGCAAGGATGCAGGCTGTGCCCCCACTGCCTCATCAGTGTGACACAATGACAGAGTGAAATGCCTGGCTTTGAGTCAGAATACTTGCTGTCTAGCAGAAGGAGGCTGCTTGTGCCTCGTCTAACGTGCTTATGTTAAGAAAGCAGTTTGCCCTAAGCTGTCCTGTCTGTGTGCTGTGGCGGTATACTGAAGTGTAGGGCACTGAATAGATTTCAGCATTTGGAGCCCTTAGCCTCCTTCTCCCATTTCCTGAGCAATTTCCAGTCACAACCCTCGGAGATGGCTGCTCTAAAAATGCACAGGAAGCTGGAGCAAGATTTGCTGGCAACAGTGTTAAGCAAAGGAGTGTAAACAACTTCGAAAGATCAGATTTTACTTATAGGATCAGACTCGGAGAACAAAGCAGAGCAAATGTTATCTTTTCCATTATTGTAGAAACCAACTCCAAGTGGCCCTTTGTCTAAAAGTAGAATGTACCCATCACCTTAAGTTACTGTGAGCTTGATTTACCAGCTGAGGTATTTCCTGTTGCCTGCAAACGTTGATAGCAAAGGTAGAGATCTGTTTGTCATGTAGTATTTCCAGCAGACTCCAGAATAAAACCAGTGGTTTGGTTTGACAGCACATTACTTAGATTTAGCAACATCGAAAGCAAGTTTAAAATAAATCATGTATTTGTTCAGAGGTTGGCTGAAGTTCTGATAATATGGAATGCAGGATCTGAAAATCTTTAAGTGAAGGCTTGCTTTGGGGGAGGAGTTGGGTTGTTTTGTTTTTAACCTGCACTGTGCTAGAATGCTGCTAAATTACACATTCCTTACTTGCTGGGAGGAGTGTAAACTTCCCCTAGCAAATTCCTTGGAGGGTTCATGCATTAAACATACTTGTGCAGTTATCATGGTTCTCATAAATATGCAACATATGTGTATGCATTAATTTAACTCACTTTGACACTCCTGTGGAATATACAGACAACAATCGTTGGCAAATTTAAACATAGGAGGGGTGGCTGGTGAGGGGGAGGGCATGGCAGGGCTATGTGTTCCTCCTGTAACACAGGCAAGCTTTAAGGGTTAGTAAGATTTGTGTGCTTTTCCTTGCCTATAAACCAGAAAAAAGAAGACAAAAGACAGACTGGAAATGTATAGGATTATGTATTCTGAACAGTCTTTGTGAAACTTTGTGAATTAGTAGTTTACTACTTCTGTGTTAAGGCAGAAATCTGGTACAAGATCATATTCTGGAATTCTGTTATCACATAAGGAATTTGTTTGTATTTTACTTCATTAATCCCATTGGAGTGCAATCTTGTATGTTGAGACTGGGAATCTTTCTTCAAGTCTTCTTTCTTCAAGTAAGAACCCCCAAAGTTCCAATCTTTTTCAAGTATTTCTTAGAAATGTCCTTTATCACAATTCATATTTGGCCATGCTTTATCATAGGAAATAGAATACGGGTGCATGTAATAGCCTCAAGTGTTTATATTGAACTTGGCAAGAAAAATGCAAGCCTTTTTTGTTTGTTTTATTTGATCAAATATTCCTGGGGAAGTGAGTGCGTGTGTGCATTTCTGTACTGATCTGGGTCTCAGCTGAATGCCAGGAACTACTGAACTCTTACAATAACTTTCTCTTTGGCTTTGGGTATCTTCACTGCTTCAGTTTCTCAGTTTTTAGAAATGAGATAGTTGCTTCCTCATGGAGCTGTTTGTTCTGAGGAAGAGTTACTGTTTGCAGAGTTGCTTGGAAACTAGAAATTTGCACCAGAAAAATGTGTGTAGAAGAGCATAAAAATTATTTTAAGATGAAAGTCACTCTTTAGGTATATTATCAAGTTCTAAATTAATGGAAGATTCTTTTCTTATGCCTGTTCGTTGAATTTCCCTGAGCTGCTTTGAGCACACAGTCACAACTGAAATAGTTAAAGGGAGAGAGGAGGGGCATATAAAATTAATCTCATGTGAATACTTAGGATTGAATACATATGAATACATGGAATCAGAGTTCCTGGCAATGGATTCACTATTGTTTTCATTGACATCCTCATCCTCAAAAATTTTAAGATGTTATGCCTGATACAGATGTTTAGCATGTGTTATATGAAATGAAGGCAGGAAAACTAAAGACTTGTCTTTATTATTATAGTTTTGAGTAACACCACTGAGACTGTAATAATTCGACAAACCTTTTTCCCCTCTGTTTAATCAGTGCTATTTGACAAAAAGTTAATAATAACAACTTAAAAAATTTCCTTTGAGAGTAAGCATGATATTAAAATGGCTGTTAGCTCCTGGAATAGGTTAATTATAATATGCTGATTCTGAATTCAGGATAATTTTTCTATGTCACAGTGTTTTTGGTTTTTAGGACTTTGAAGATCTGGGTGATGAAGGTGGTGAAAGCCTAGTTCATTTTACCTATTATGCTGCATATTTACTATATTTCCCAGTGTGTTTGTTTTCAATGTTTTCAGAAATTTTAATACTACAGCAGCCTTACTCAAGGCTATGTCAGAGAAAAATGTTTTGTTTCATGCTCAGGCATACAGAGATCCAGGAACAGCCTTGAGATTCAGCTCAGATAAAGGGGCCACTTTTTGGGCAGATTTGAAACTTGCTGACCTGCAGTACCAGAGTCATGGTCAGAGGGGGCCTGGAGGTCATGTGCTGGCAGCAGGCAGGAAGAGAATTCAAGGTTTGTTGCTTGACAGCTGGAGTCAGTGAGGATTTTGTTACCTATTAATTAGTTTGAATAGGTATACAGTATTGCATGTGGGTATATTTAGTACTTCTGGTAGGTTAAAGGCCTTTGCTTTGAAGAAAAATAGTTGCTGCCTTAGAAGAGGAGAAGCTTTGAGAGATAAAACACTGTGCCTCTGCCAAGGTACAGACCAAATCTGAACCTTGGAAGGGTATTTTCCTTTTCTTGCCTCTTCACTTTGTGACTTCCTTAGTTTGGCAGCAGTAGTGGATCTCTAGCTATAGCAGCAGACCTGCACATTTCAATGCAAGTATGTTCAGGGGTTTTGAGCCTTCAGCCTCTTCATCTGGCCAGCTCTCCTGTTATGCTGAGCCCACCAAGGTCAACCTGATCACTTCACCTATTATTTGTTATTTCTTTATGATGTGTGGTTCGTGAAGTTGTGCAGAGGAAACATAATCAGTCATAGTGGGTATACAGAAGAACAATAGAAAATGAGTTTGGCCACCTTC